TAGCAACGTTTTGTCTCAACTCTAAATCTGTTAAACTAGCACTTAAATTTTCGATTTCATTTTTCATACGATCATTGTCTGATAAAAGTAATTCGTGAATTGTTGAGATTGAAGGCTCTCCTTCAGCATTTGATACCAATCCCTTTGGATCCATAAAGGTTGATAACCAATCAGAAATAGCCGAGACTTGACCTTCTAAAAAATCCACTGTATTGCGAAGATCTTGAAATTTTGTTTTTAATTGCTGATTTTCCTGTTCAAGAGCATAATTACGTTGCTTATACATCTTGAAAAACTCTTTCAATGGTTCATAACTGCAAGAACCAATGTGAACTGATAGATCATGTTGACGACCTTCCCAAACACAGCCAAATTCCGCATGACGACAAGTGACATATTTGTCTGGACATTCTTCAAGGTGTAAAGTATGTTCTGGCTGAATACGTGTCGTATGACAATAAGGACATTCTATATTGTTGACAGGACAAGTAATTTTATGTCCCTTTATAAAAATGTATATTAACTTTAATCATCTAAAATAAAATAGACAACCATAAAAAAAAAAAAAAAAAAAAAAAAGGAGAGCGATAATACTTTTAAAATCTCACCTCTAAAGTAGATAATGAAACTATTTCTTTACAACTTTCACATTTAACCATTCTAGCTATACAATTTTCCATATGTTTTGATAAATCCTTTTTTAAAATCATTTCTCTACATTCTTCATTACGACATTCTAATTTAGTGAATAAACACTCTTCTTGTAAATGAAAATTTAATAATTGACGTTGTCCTTGATAAAGACATCCATCATTTTTATTAGGACAATAAACTAATAATTCATTAACCATATTCAAAATTATTTTTGCAGCAGGTTTAAGTTCATTAACGTTGGAAATATGAGATCGATCAACCGGACAGGTAGATCTAGTTGACAATGATCGAGTAATACAATCCTTGCAAAATGTGTGACTGGAAAGGTCAAAAGTATGAAATAAGTAAGCTGTTCGGAATTTGATTAATTGAATGCGAAATGATTATTTTACCCGCAGCTATCTATGACTACAGGCTCAACGAAAGGTGTCTGACAAATACAACATATAAGGTTGGAATTAACTGATTCCACATAAGCAATGGAATTCAAATCCATTGTTATAATGATAATAATAAAGAAATACAATTGTCTATTTTTTTTTTTCTTATTAATTTCAACATTGAATCACCGATTCATTGCTCAAAAAAAGAGAAAGTTGATAAAAATCGACATTAGATCTCACTATCTTATCTAAATTATATTCATATGCTTGCCTATTCTCGGATCATTTTTTTTCCAAAAAAGGACCAGTTTGATCGGGCTATCAGATTTGTTAAGAATTCGCAGCTCCGATCATTCTTGGGAATATATTATAGGAGATTTATTTATTTTAATAAAATAATTATCTGGTTTTTAACAAATTTTCAATCACGTGACACGCAGAATTTTATCAGTTGAATAACCACAAGATTCACATGACAATTAGTGGATCTGATTATTATTAAAGTTGTTTAATCATTGTCGTGTAATACGAAATGATTTTTTCGACTTTCAAAAGGAATCATAACATTCTGGACAATATTTATCCGTTCTTATTCTTTAATTCCTTAAAGCATTTTTACTGAAACATTTTTTTGATCCTTCGTTTAAATTTTTAAATTAAATCATAATTTTAAGTTTCTACATCTTGGATTTTCGATTCTTCGATCCAAAAGTGTCTTACAATTTAGAACAGTTCGGTGATCTCAATACGGAATCTTTGACTGAATCAAACGACAATATGTCTTCAAAGGTAGAAAAAAATGATGCCTGTTTTTTCGTGTATCCTTATTTTTATTCATTGCAAGATGTTTGTTTTCACTTGGATTTTTTTAGATCTAACTTTATTTGGTTGTTTCAATACTCTTTCCAACAACAATAGCCAAGGCCAAAGCAACCCGTATTCAAAGCAATTCCGGTTAATGATGGTAACTTATTGTTTTATTTTCTTGTTTATATATACTATATCATCAATTAATACAATTCAATCTGATTAGATCTTAAATACAAGAGAAAATATAAAGAGCTCAAGAAGAGGATTCGAGAGATGGAAGAAGTAATGATAATTATTTTATTTTATTATTAAATTTACTATGAACGAAATTTTTGATTGGAGGTTTTTTTTTTTCCCGAATTAGGAAAATGAAAAGTTGTCACTCAAATTAACTAGAGCAAAGAAGAATATACAACGGTTACGAATAGAGAGAAGGTAACTAAAGATTCCAAGTCGAGTACTTTTCTTATATACCCATTTTTATTTTATTTTCTTTGCTTCCAATAATTTAGTTTCTTATTCGAACGGTTAGAACAATCACATTCCAAGGATAATTCTGAATCAGATATAACATCTACGCCTCAAAGAGTGGTAGATTCGGAGGAGGATTTATCTTCGGTGGGTAGTGATAGTAATGACGATAATGGCTCACATACTATATCAATGACAGTTTAAAATAATGCAACGGCAACTTTTGTTATAGATTCAACAAATAAAACTTCTAAAATCATTCAATTTATTTAATAATAGAATATTATGTTAATAGCTAATATAGGAAATAAAAAATTCAGTGAATTATTAAAAGTTAGCTTTATCCAAATTTGTAATTTACTAACTCTATTGATGATAGTTTATTATTTTATCTCTTTTAATAGATATATATATATTATTTTTATTTATTTTTTTTTTTTTATATTTATTTTAATTTATTTATTTATATTTGATATAAAAAAAAATTAAAACAACCAAGGAAAATATATTATTTTGAAACTTGGTTATGATTAATCATTTGATTATATGATCGATATAATCTAAACTTTTCTTATTTAAGCGTTCTGAATTTGAGACTATTTGATCTTTCTAGTTGGGGCAAAAAAAAGGCGAGGCGACAAAATTCTAGATTTTTAATACACTTGTTAATAATGTCCACTAGCGTGCAAGAAACTGTTCCAAAACGTCGCGTTGCTATAATCGGTGGCGGACTTGTTGGTGCACTCGCTGTATTATATTTTGCCAAGCGTGGTTGGCAAGTTAGTCTTTTCGAACTTCGAGAAGGTAATTAATTTATAATTTTACTTTCACAAAGACGAAATATTCAATTATATTCGATATTCAATTATCAGACTTACGTGTACCGGAGAACAAAAAAAATCTTTCACATAGGTCAATAAACCTAGCTTTATCTGCTCGAGGCCTAAGCGCCTTGAAACGTATTTCACTCGGTCTTGATGACAAAATATTGGAACACGTGATTCATATGAAAGGTAGAATGATTCATTTAGGCGAAGGTAAGCTCAAAAGCCAATTATACGGTGTTTTCGGTGAGGTAAGAAATTTTCACTTGAACGGTTTTATACGCTATTACATAATGACTTATTTAAAAATTTACACTTATAGTGTATTTACTCGGTGGAAAGAGAAATCCTTCTCGAATTGCTTCTAAATACAGCCGCTACGTTTACGAATGTCAAAATGTATTTCCAACACCAGTTTAAACGTTGTAATTTTGATGATGGAATTTTAGAATTCGAAAATAAGTAAGTATTATAAATTTGCTTTTTGTTGACCATTTTTTTGAACTAAATGTGCCTTTTCGTTTAGGAAAACTGGAAATCCATTTCAAGATTCAGCAGATTTAATTATAGGTGCTGATGGCGCGTTCTCTGCTGTTCGAACCCAACTAATGCGCGTTGTAAGGTAAATTGTTTATTTATTTGTAAGCATTATAAACAATATCTTTTTAAATATTTAAGAATTTCGAATGTAGGATGGATTACTCACAGGAGTATATTTCACATGCTTATCTTGAATTAACCATTCCACCAAGAGTTAATGACAAAGGTGAAGAAGAATTTGCAATGGATCCCAATCATTTGCACATTTGGCCACGGCATTCTTTTATGATGATTGCACTGCCTAATAGAGTTCGTTATATATTCTTAAAAAAATGGTTACTACTTAAAAATTTTTTAATTGCTAATACAGTATATATTTATTATTTAGAATAAATCATTTACATGTACACTATTCATGCCATTTGAAAATTTCGATGCGTTAAAGACAGAAGATGATCTGATGGAATTTTTTAGAAAGTATTATGCAGATTCTATTCCTTTAATTGGAGAAGATCAACTCAAGGAGGGATATTTCAGGAATCCAAGGGGATCACTAATGTCTATTAAGGTAGGTTTCTTAAAAGGTTGGGCATTTTAGTAAGGTCGGGTCAAATTTATAAGCATAATGCAATGTCGCCTCTGATTGATAAGATTTGTTTGAGTGCAAAATTATCATTAAGCGTAACATTCAAGTTAAATTAATTTTAACTGTCATTAAAGTCTTCATACAAAAAGCGTGATTGAGATTGAGTTTTGGAAATCAAAGGTTAACAAACGAAAGATTAATTGTTCATTAGAATGTAACATTTCGTGGTAAACTTTAATCCCGAGATTAAGCCTCATCCCAATCATGCTTTGTGAAGCCAGGCTAACCTTCTCCATTTCTTAAAAAATGGGAAGAGATTTTCTTCAATATCCATAAAGAATTGATACTGAAATAAATGATATTTTGGATAATAATTTTTTATACAGTGCAAGCCTTATCATTATAAAGATCGAGCAGTTATTATAGGAGATGCAGCTCATTGCATGGTTCCTTTTTATGGACAAGGTATGAATTGCGGATTTCAGGATGTTGAAATGTTAAATGGAATATTTGAGGAGTACGAGATATTGGCTGTGCAAAGTAGTGATAAGTTGGCTTTGGCATTGGAGGAATTTACAAAAAGACGTCATCCGGACGCGATTGCAATTTGTGATTTAGCAATGTATAATTATATAGAGATGCGATCTAGTGTAGTAAAACCTTGGTATTTATTAAGAAAACGAATTGAAGAAACTTTATACTGGTTATTTCCCACTAGAAGTATTGCTCCATTGTATACAATGGTTAGCTTTTCAACCATGAGATATTCGGAGGCAGTGCAGAGGTGGAAACGTCAAGGATTTTTATTGAATGTAATTGGTGTATCAATATTAACAACGGTGACTGCTGCATCGATCTGGATTGGATACTATCGGTTTAGAAGAATATAATTATTATTTTCAATTGCTACAAGAAAACGTTAAATTAAAAATACTTTTTTTGTATCCTTGTATATCCGCAAGCTTTGTTTATTATAATACATTAAGTGTTTGAATAATAGGATTTAAAATGTTTTATTATTAAAATGATATAAAATAGTATAAATAAAAGAAAATTATTAAGATAATCAGTGAATAACTAAAAGAAATAATGAATTTGACAATGTGGTTTAATATAGAATTAATTTTTATAAATAAAATAAAAAATATTGAGAATATATTATTTATTATTATTTTATAAAACTTTTTTTAAATAATGCATTATGCAATCAAAGTATTTCACATAATCATTTTATTTTCAGTTTATAACAAATCTATATATAATTATTCTGATTTTTTATAACTACAATTCTGTTTTTTATTTATTAATAATATCTTTTTTTGTTTTTTTTTTAATTTAAAATTCTTATTTTAAATACTTTAATTAATATAAATAATAAATTTAAAAAATTTATAATTATACATATTCATAAAATACATTATATAAAATAAAAATATTTTTTGAATATAATATAAAATTATTAAATCAATCTTATTTTAATAATAAAAAATTTGCAAATTAATTTTATAGTTATACTTATTTATTATAAATATTTAATAATAATAGTAGGTTAATTATAATTGATTTAAAAGAAATATTAATATTAAAATAATTTATTTTAATAAAAATAAAAAATAAGTATTATTAAATTTACTTTGCTATTAAAAAATTATATTTATATTTAAATATATAACTTAATACATAGAGTTTATGATCAAATGAAAAAATAAAATTTGAAAATAATTCTTTATTAAAATAATAAAATTATTTAAAAAAAGAAAAGTGTTTAATTGTTTAATAAATAATAATTTATTACGAAAAATAAAATTAAATAAATAATTTTTAACAATTTATTATATAAATAAATAAAAAACATTTTTATAAATAATCATATTTTAAATTT